CCCTGCGTCGATTTTGCGCTTTCGGTGCTGTTCCGGTACGCCGAGGGGCTGCCCAGGATGCGCGGCCCCGGGCGGCCGGATCCAGAGAGGCGGTGGCGGCGGCTGCTCAGGGAAGTCGCAGAGCAGGAGCCGCTTCCAAGGCACGTGGAACGTCACCGGCTCGGCCGCACGCCGCTTGGCCATGGGCCCAGAGGCTCGGGCGGAGCCCGCCAGGCGCGGGAGACCGATCGCCGATAGCTGTGGGGGCGAAGAGCGAGGACTGAGCGCGTGAGGGAGGGACAGGCCGAAGTCGGGCGAGGAGGCGACAGGACGCTGGAGGGGGCGGGGCAGCTCGTGCTCCGGCTAGGGTTGGGGCTTCGGCCGGGAGGCAGCTCGCGCGCGCAGCCCTTGCAGCTGCAGAGATACTGCCCGGACGTTGAGAAGCAACCGCGAAGCGGCGGAGATTCGAACCTGCGCACAACGTGCGCGCGCGCACTCTCTCCTGCCAGGCGGAGCCGCTGGTTGGTGGAGGCTCGCGGGGCGCGCTCCCGAGCGCCCTCGCGACCGGAAGTGCGCGCCCGGAGGTAGGCGGGAAGGCGGCGGCGGGCTTAAAGACCCGATCTAGTGGCCCGCAGAGGGGCGTGACCTTGTTTCCTCAAGGGCGTGGCGGTGATCTTACTACTACGTTCGGCATAGCGCGGTACGTTCTAGACACTTCTATAGGAAATTTAAGTCCTTTAAAATGTGTATTTCCCTACTCCAGTCAGTGAGGACGGGGGTGCGCCTCCATGAGATTAAGACAAAGATAATAGAGTTCCAGACTATTCTGAGCAACATAGCAAGACCTCGTCTCTACACGAAAATTAGGCCAGTCTTGGTGGCCTGACTCTGTGGTCTCAGCTACTTGGGAGGCTGAGGAGGAAGATTCAGTTGAGCCCGGGAGGGGGAGCCTGCAGTGAGCCAAGATAGCACCACTACACTCCAGCCTGGGCGACAGAGTGAGACTCCGTCCCAAAAAAAGAAAAGAATACAAACTCTCAATAAACTAGTGTTTAAAAGACTTTACAATAGGTAATTATTCAAATGACTGAAGGGGAGTCCAGGCTAAGTAGCAAAAGCTAACGTAAAACACACACACGCACACATCGAAGTGTATGTTTTGCACAGCTGCTGTGGAAGGTGAAGCAGGCACCACATTCCTGGAAGATCTCTTGATTAAAAACTTTACGGAGGAAGTTATAGACAAGATGTGCAGCTCATCCAAAATAGCTGGGTAGTTGGCAAGAACCAAGCCTGAGGCACAGCTCCTGTCCTTTCCAGCTGAAACCTAAAATTGTTGGGCTCTTAAATTAGGTTGGAAGCCTGAGTTCCCTGCTTACTCTGGGCGGTGGTCTGATCAAGATTCCAAGACCATTACAGCAAAATAGTGTCAAGTGAAGTGAGGTGGAGACAACCGCAGTATATTTACTATTTTATTATTATTATTTTTATTTTTGAGACAGTGTCTCTCTTGGTAGCTGAGGCAGGAGTGCAGTGGTGCCATCATGGCTCATTGCAGCCTGCCCCCACTGGGCTCAAGCGATCCTTCTGCCTGGGCTTCCCAAAGTGCTTCCTTTTGCAGGTGTGAGCCACCGCACCTGGCCATATTTACTATTTTAATAGTTTGATAAAGACAGTAACCAAGTAAGCAAAAGTGGAAGGCAGAAAATAAGTCTATTATCAGTGCTTTGAAGGGAGAAATTACTATCATCATCTTCTGTAGAAGATAATTCTATTCTAGTGCTAGGTACTAACTCATTGCTAATTACTCTGTGCCCCTGCACCTCAAAGTGGTTGTGAGAGGACAAGTTGATTATTTAGTTATTAACAAGCACAGAAATCTACCAGATTAGGGTAGTAAGCAATAGCTTTTCTGTTTGATCTTTACTTTTCTTGTTTGGAATTGATAACAGGCTGGGTATGGTGGCTCACACCTGTAATGGCAACACTTTGGTAAGTAGAGGTGGGCGGATCATCTGAGTCCCAGAGTTCCATACCAGCCTGGCCAACATGGTGAAACCCTGTCTCTACAAAAAATATAACAATTAGCCAGAGGTGGTGCCTTGCACCTGTAGTCGCTGGGAGGCTGAAGTGGGAGGAACACTTGAACCCAGGAGGCAGAGGCCAAGATTGTGCCAATGTACTCCAGCCTGGGTGACAGTGTGAGACCCTGTCTCTGGGAAAAAAATAAATTGAAAACCCGTCTGTCTCAAACAGAGGAAGAGTTTTGCCATTTTTAAATCAGCAGGAAAGATCTTAATGGTAGCCATCAGATGCTGTTGAAAGGGTGTGAGGGGGCCTGTCTCAAAATAGTCAGTGTGGTTTACCTAATGGTTGATTCTTTTGTGTTCCTCTTTACAGACTTGTTTTTTCAAAATTGTGAAATTTATCATATATGCAAAAGGTTGTATAAAATACACATATAGTTAAAAGAATGATAGTAATACACAACAGCATTCTGTTTCAGAAATAGAATACTGCCTGTCCTAGAACATGACAAGCTCCCTATGTACCCATTCCCCACTGGCACATATCCTTCCTTTTCCCTCATTCCCGATAATTACTGTTTTGAATGTTGAGTTAATCATTCCTTTGCTTTTTAACTTCTCCATCTGTATGCATATTGCTAAATAACGTTTTTTTTTGTTTGTTTT